TTATGGTTTTTAACTTAATCCATCTACAGTATCTCTAAATGATGAATTCCAGGAAAACACCAATTTTGTACTTGTAGTAGTGGGCTATGAATATACATAGCAGAGCTCTTACCCTAGGTAAGAGACAAATGGTATACTTCCCAGAGGTGAGTTTGAATTCTCCTCAGAGAAGTAGCAAATCTAAGTTAATGGTAAGCTACAATCTTGGCCATACACAGTCTAATTATTCTGGGACTTTTGTTTCACAATAAGGTGACTTATCAAGTAGCAGCAACCCTTATATCTTTGCATTTACCTGCATATCCCAGCGTGCGCCCTCCATGAACAAGCCATGAATATATGCACCTTCCCGTGGAGGACTGGTGAACTCTTCACGATTCCTCTTAGTCACATCACATTGCAGCGTCATTTTGTCCAGAGGCCACTCATTTTTTCGGGCCATGGACTGCATTATGGCTGTCAAGAAAGACTGTGGGTTAAAGAATCCTGCCAGCCACACCACAGATGGTAGCATGAAGTCTCCTATCCATGTTTCAAGCTCTCTGATGCGACTGAGAAGGTCGGTGAACCAACTGCCTAAACCAGACATGGAAGGATAAGCTCTCCTGGTCCATGATTCAGGCACCATATCTAAGAAGATGGCATTCTGTAAAGTCTCCATATCATTGGTCATGGTTAATTCACCCTAAAACACATAAGAAAAAGTAGCATGACAGACACAAGACAGCTTTCAGTCAAAATGCACTAAACATGGGAAAGTAGCACATTTAGTAGGATTTGCAATAACTCTGAAAATAATTCACCCTTCAGTTTCAAACAAAGGTAGAGAAATAGAAAATCAACTAGTTTTAACAACTGAAAAACTCCTAAAATAACTGGGAGATATTTGTGGAATAATTTAGATACTTCTGCTATATCACAAGCTTTTATCATTATTTGATTTAATTGACAATATTTTTTTGGTTCTGCTTGATTTTTAAAATGGTTTTTAAGTGCAAATTATTTTCTGTATATTTATTATATATTTATCCCACCTTTATTATTTTTATAAATAACACAAGGCAGTGAGCATTCATAATATTCTCTCTCTTCCTATTTTCCCCACAACAACAACTGGTGAGCTAGATTGAAAGAAAGTGACTGGCCCACAGTCACCAAGTTGCCTTTATGCCTGAGGCAGGACTAGAATTCGCAATCCACTAGTTTCAAAGCCAGTACCTTAACCACTACACTGAACTGGTTCTCTTTATTTACATTTATTTATTTACATGGGTTTATATGTACTTTTTTATAACATTTGCTTTCTAATGGTAGGCTACCCCTCATAAACTGAGTGTTTTCCTGTCATCTCTAAATTGTCTTCAAAATTGCACAAAAATCGGGGGGGAGAGTCTGTACCTTCAGTCCCAGGTCCAGCTCTCTCAGCGACCGCTTAATCTCACAAGTGAGAAAGTTCATGCGTTCACATTCCTGGAAGGCAACCACTATGTATGGTGTTCTCTCTTCAACTTTGGCCATCAGCTCAGGAATATTAAACTCGTCCGCTAATTTCTCCAGGATATCATCAAGCAGCGCCTTCACCTATATGCCAGAGTGAGGGAATATTGCTGAAACTTACTTACACAAGTTATTTAACAACTTGAACTAGGCTTAGAGAAGTTAATTTCCCCTTATTGAAGAAAAGCTGAGTCAGACCAAGCTTGGCTCTTTTAATCAAGCCATCTGACAGACTATTAACATCTACAAGCATTCATAGAGGTTCCACGTACATAAATAGCTTTGAAAATGGCCACACATTATGCAGATATTCTTTTTTTTTTCTTGATTCTCTGTGCTATGCCTCAATTTCAGATTAGGGCAGTTCTAATCTGAATATAGATGAAGTTATAAAAGGAAGCGAGGGGAAAAGAAACATTGGATCAGACTTTATTGAACCTCCTTAAGAGTCATTTTATTCAGCAATTGTCAAATGCAATAATTCAGAGGCATTGGTTCTCTGTTTTTATTTTATTGTGGACGTTTCTTTTGCTTTGGGCTGCAATTTGGCAGCATCTCTGTCCAAACTACACTATAAGACTCAATTGTTGGCAGGATCTGGAACTAGGACTAGAAGGGCCACTGCCAAAAGAGTGAGGAAAGCGCAGGGTGAAGATCCCTGGCACCAACCTACCTAGACAAGAGGTTAGATCAGTGGAGTTTGAGTATCTGAGCAGCATTAAGTCTTGATATATACCCGATGAAATGTTCAATCTGTCTGCCAGTGATTCAAAAGAATTGTGAGCAGAAGTAGGGGACTAATAAACTCCATCTGAGATGAGGGGCAAGTGGAGATTGAAGCCCCAACTTCTCAGGTATAAATAAGAAAGTCCCTCAAGGCCCTGAGGATTTGTACCAATGGTAACACAGGTATAGGAGATAACCAGGCTGTGCCCGAGGAGAGGGGAGCAATCAAATGCATCATCAGTCTCGAGTCCCTTCGCACCCACAAGAGATCTAAGACCAGTCTACCTTGAATTCTGTTGATTCTTACATACCGCTAATTTGCTTTGACCATTACTAGTTCAAATTCTCGTAGGGAGCCTTAGCTTGCAATAAACCTATACATTCGTTTGAATTGCCTGATTTTCTATACTTGACAGTAGGAAGGGTGTGAAATCTGTACACAAATTGGATTGGTTGCAAGGTGAAGCTCAGCTGGTACTCCAATAATACTACAATCAGTCTTAGACTGATAGTGACATGGATGGCGATATGACAGAAAGCATCATATACAC